AAAAAAAAAAAAAAAAAAAAAAAAAAAAAAGAAAGAATAAGAGAAAAGTAGAAAAATTTTTTTAGATAATTTTTCTTTCGTCTTCCTTTTTTGTTTTTATTTTATATAATATCAGTTGAATTTTCTTTTAAGCAGAGAATGTTAATCAAATAAGATTTTTTGAAAAACAAACATTAACCTGAACTTTACAGCTGGTTTTTTCGCTGTATTTGTGCAAACAAATTTGTGTGTCATTATCAATATTACTTTTTTCTTTTTTTGCTCTTTGAGGCACTTTGACGGTTTTTGATTCCTCTCTATTTTTCTTTTTGTTTTTTTTTTAATTATTAACTGATCTTGTTAAAGAAAGCAAAAAATTTATTGTTATTAAGTAGGGTAGAATTAGGCCGGCTAATTCTTTTTCTTATCTTTTCCCTCATCAGTCTTCAACTTCCGTTTCATCTGCAATTTTTTTCTCATTTCTCTTTTTTTTTTAATCCCCCCCCCCTCTCCCCAATGACTTATTGTTGCTGAGGAAAATAGGGATTTGTACTGGGAGCAGTACCGAGCACAATGTTGCTTCCAGTGTTTAGAGTTAGGTAACAGTTGGTGTTGTCGTTGTTATTGTTGCTGCTGTTGCCGTTGCCGTTGCTGTTGTCGTAGCCGTTATTGTTGTTGTTGTTGTTGTTATTGTTTTCGTCGTTGTTGTTGTTGCTGTTGTTGCTGTTGCTGTTGCTGTTGTTGCTGTTGCTGTTGCTGATATGAAAAGTATGCCTGAACTAAGATTAAACATATTGTACAATGTTCTGCTGAAATTCAGATGGTAATCGATTGGCGAGCTCAGCTCCAACATCCTCACCGTTATGCTCAGTGATGGGTCGAAGAACTTCATCGTTCCCAGCTGTCGATCAGCTATCACTAATGCCAGGGTTCAGAGCGGTAAAAACAGTTTTTTTTTCTTCTGCTTTTTTTTCCACTTATTTTCTTCTTTTTTCTTTTTTGTCCAGGCCAACGTTCATGTTTATAGCAGCAAAACGAATGGTAGGAAGAGTAGTGTGTACGATTGGCATTTTTAAAACACTTTACGATAAAACTTTTTTAATTATCTTTTCTCTGAAAGCTATTTTATTGTTTTTGTTATTTTTTGTATTTTTTGACTTTTTCCCTTGTCTTCAAAATAAGCCATACAGAGATTTATTATTTCATTACTATTATTATTGTCGACAGTGGTGGCACTTTTTTTTGTTTCTTTGAACTGAAAAGTTACGGTAAAAAAAATTTTTTTCTAGTTTTACTCGTTGAAGTTTTTAAGTTAGTTTCTATGTATTTGACAAATCTTGTTCACTTTAATTTTTTTCAACTGAATTAGCCTTTAATTGCAAACATTCGGTGGTTAACACCGGTGTTAAAACATTTAGTCTGCTTTAGGAAGGCTTCTAATAACTGCGATAATAGTTGAAGCAGTTTAGGAAAACAAAGTGAGATTTTCCTCAGAAAACCATTCTTAGAAAAGAAAAAAAAAACAACTCATCTTCTACGATTTAGTCTTCGTTTTCAACGGCTTTCCTCTTCAGTTCATTCTAAATTTTAATTATATAATTTTTTTTTTCTTGAACTGTTGGCCAGAGACCGAAAACACTGGAGCATATCATTTGAGATAACATAAATGAGAACAGTTTTACCTTCTTTTTAAAATCAATAAAATTTTTTTTCTGCATCATTTTTTCAACTTGTGGCATATTATACATGCTTGAAGATGCGTTCACAAAGCGATTCGGGTGGCCTAAACTGGCTTGGTCTAGCAAGCACTCGTACAGTGTTTATAAATCAGATAAAGAGACCAGAAGGTTTCTCCGGTATAATAACAGATACTTTCACCACAAAAAAATGCGGTTAGCAGCACCAGTTTGATCGTTCCATAATCTGTTGTTTGTTGGCCGTTAGAAGTGAAGTTTATAACCAATATAGGATTGCTTACAGAATCTATGCGCGACTCTGATGCGTTAAGTGGGGAAGACATTAACTCAGACGTTAGCTCTATTGACTATGAGAACGAAGAAGAGGAAACATTATCAATAAGGGAAAGCGATGAGGAAATTACTATTAGTAGAACTACTGTAAGTCGTAAAAGTGTTCGATTTGCTGATACTTGTGGTAAACCACTGACGACAATTCGAGTCATGAAAGAGCCATCGGACTACCCGCCGAAGTTAGATCCAGAAGTATGCTTTATAAATAAATTAATTACTATCACAATTTTATTTTGTATGCAAAATTTTTTCAATTGTTTTTTTTTTTTTTTTGGTCTTTTGCCACTTTGTTTGAACTTTTAAACAGTTAAACAGCAATTAATATTCAGATTTTACGGAAGGCACTTGGTGAATATTATACGGGTTCAGAGGAAGAATCAAAATCATCTTCCACATGGATCATGAATTTTAAGCAACCTGCTAGCGATTATATCAAGTTCCATGAAACTCTTGAACAGGGGAATGTTGCGTTAGAAAATGTAATGTTAAAGAATGAAGTGAGCCGTATGCTTGGAACCATCAAGGTTGGATAATAAATTTTGTAGCAAAAGTTTCTACTAAAGTTATTTTTTGTCTTCTGTTCTTTGCGTTGTTTTTGAGCTACTGCTTAGCATTTCTGAGTGCATTTAGCGCTGACAATCAGTTAACAGTTGCAATGATATTACAACTGCTAAGCAACAAAAAACTAAATAATTTATCCCCAATTTCCTGTTGTTTATAGCAAATATATTTCACCTCATTATTTTTGTTTATTCCAACTATCCCATGAAAAATTTGTTTTTTTTTTTTGTACAAAAAATATTGAATATTTTTTATACAGTTTCTTTACTGCAAGCTTAAAT